GCGCACAGCGCTGGCTCATGTTGAGCTTCTCCTCAGGGCTGCTCTCCATCCATTCTCCACCCAGCCTGAACTTGTGCTTGGGATTGCCCTGACCCACATGCAGGACCTTGCACTTGGCCTTGTTGAACTTCATGAGGTTCTCACAGACCCACCTCTCCAGCCTGTCCAGGTCCCTCTGGATGGCATCCCTTCCCTCCAGCATGTTGCACCACACCACACAACTTGGTGTCATCTGCAAACTTGCTGAGGGTGCACTCGATCCCACTGTCCATGTCGCTGACAACGATGTTAAACAGCACCGACCCCAGTACTGACCCCTGAGGAACACCACTCGTCACTGGCCTCCACTTGGACATTGAACCGCTGACCACAACTCTTTGAGTGCGACCATCCAGCCAGTTCCTTATCCACCAAGTGGACCATCCATCAAATCGATGTCTCTCCAATTTAGACAGATGTCATGCAGGACAGTCAAATGCTTTGGACAAGTCCAGATAGATGACATCAGTTGGTCATATTCATGTCAGCTCCTCTAACGGCTTCATTTCAACCAGGCAGGAAGAATCATTTCAGCTTGAATCACTTCTAATCAACACTATTAATAAGCAAGTAGTACACCCTCGGTTGCCCTATGCTCTCCTCTTCTTAGCTCACCGATGCAAGGTGCAAAAGTAGCTTCCACAGAAAATTTGAACATGTCATTACTGACACGAGCACACTTTGAAAACCACGTTACCAGCAGACTAGTTGTAGTGTAGGTTTCCTCAGTTTCTGAAAAGCCAGGCTGCACTACAGCTCTTCGTGCCTTGGCTTGAGGAGAATTTTCCCCTTACGCAATTCAGGACTGGACACATGAAAAAAGATCAAAAGGGAATTCTTCCCCAAACACTTGCTGTTGTACATATGACAAACTCCCACAATGAAGTCACACGTTATTGCTTCTTTATTCCTTTCACGTTATGTCTTCACAGCTCAGAGGAGCAGTGTACTTAAAAAACCAGGAAAATCCTAGACTACATTTAAGGCAAATGAAATAGTCTGTAGTCTGCTACCGAAATTCTGAATATGTTCTATTAACACACAGCAAAGACCCACAGCCAAGTGACTTGAGGTGCTCTAGAAGGCAGACTAATCCTACCCCATTTTATTTTGGATCTTCATCACAGCTCAGATAATCTCACTGGAACTCTTTACCCCTTACTTTCCACTCCAAATTCAGCTATGTCCAACTCAAAATGTGTATTCCAGATGTGAGCCCAGGCTTGAAACACAGAGGGTTTAGTTTTGGCACCAAAGCCTTCCTTTACGCAGTTCAAATCGTTCCATGACATCCTTGAATTAAAATAAAAATAGGAAAAGTCCCAAAATCATATTGGAAAGATCCTCTGGTTTCCAGTTCAGCCTCATGCTCATGGCAGGACTACCAGCAGCATTGCATCAGCCACAGCTTTGTGGTCTTCCAAGCCTCCAAGAATGGATATCTCACACTGTCCAGGCAATGTTTCCCAGGGTTTCAATCTTCTGGTGGAGAGAAAAAAACACCCACCACCAAAAAACCCTAACCAAACTCTCCAGTGTGTCCAACCTGAACCTCCCAGTTTATGGTTTGCAACCACCGCTCCTTGTTACACTGTCCAGCACCACCAAGCAGAGTTTGCTTTCAGGTTGTTGGAAGCACTCAACTACTTTCCACCTGCATTTCAGGCAGGTTGCCCTTCGCTGTCTCCTTTCCAGGCTCCAGAAGCTCTCAAACACTGGCAAACTTGGCAGCTTTTTCATCTCTTCCAGTTTTCCTACACCCCTTCTGACGTAGAGGCTCAAAACTGTAGAAACTCCTCAGCTCACGGAACCAAGGGTCATGTCAGAGCATTAGACGCAACACTACTTTGTAATCCAAGTTTAGCTGCAAAGCTTAGTAGAAAACCAGAACTTTTCTCCTCTTGTCTGGCCAGAGACAGTTTTACCCTTTCACCAGCACCCCACAGTGACTCGATTCACCGCAGTTAATTGAACTGCAGGCTCGCAGCAGCCTCATAGCAAAGGAAAGGCTAATTACTTAAGATCGCAGGTGCTTTCAGATGTTAAACCTCATTTAACGGGCTTCAAGCAATGCTTTCAGTGTTCAGCATGCATTACAAAAACATCCAGCGATTTTAATTGCAAATTTCCTTCCCCTTCTAAGACCAGCGAAACATCGCCTAACAATTAGTCGTTCACAATTAATTCTGCAACAGTCACTTCAAAATTCACACTCTGAGGGAGAGCCACAGATCTGCCACGTTTCTCCAAGGACACGCAAGCCACAGCCATGCTTCTCAGCCAGCTCAAGTGACAGAAGAGCGAGAAGAGAGCACTCCTTACTCAACCAGGACAGCGAGGACTGCATGGAAGAGAGGTAAGGCAGAGGGTTAAACGTTGTGGAGGGCTAGCCTGAAGACTTCGTTGGTGCACACCCAGGCACCTTGAAAACTTTTCAACAAAAAGGTTTGGTGGAAGCCTAGAACCTGGTCATCATCTGCCTGGGCATGACAGGAGAAATATGTTACTAGGTGAAGCACACTGAAAAATACTGGGTGACATTCTGGATGCACGTTGGCAAAGCAGCGTGGCACCAAGTGAAACTCGCTCCTGAAGGCACAAACTGATGCTCACTCTTCCTAGTTGAAGCGAGGGAGCATGCACCCAGACAATCAATGGCAATAAAGAGTGGTAAGAGAATTAGAGAAAGGGGAGGTGTATTTATTATATTGCTACAAAAGGATAATAAAAACATTACTACCTATCCCAACGTCCATTAGAGAGGATCTTTCATATGTTTACTTGTAAATATGCTTTTCAGCGAAAGTGATTACTGTACTGCTTGTGCCAGTGAGTTAGATCCTCACTCGTGACATTCACCCTACTTAGATGCTCTATTACTCTCCAACGTCTTCTCCAAGACTCTGTTGTGTCCCATCCCCTCACTTGCAGATGATTATTCTGCTGCGAAAGATGTTGCTTTTTTTTTTTTTCATTTATAGTTCATATTGGTCTGTAGACTGGAGCAGCACAGAGGCAGACACCCATCCTCACCTTGGCACAGGGCAATAATGATTTCAACTGTCCCCAGCTAAATTCCCCCCCAGCAGGGCAGCCCCAGGGCTGAGAACAACCCAAACCTGCAGGATTACTTAAGGCATAATACTCTGGTGAAAAAAAAAATAAATACAGAGTTTGACAGTAATAGTCCATATCTCCATTATTGCTTCAGAAGTGTTCTTGCACAGTTGAGAAGAGAGCTGAGGCTTTGTGACAACGTGGTAGCAGTTCACCCCATGCTATATGCAGGGACAGCAGAAGATTTTTCTGCTTTGGTTTGGTTCCCCCCCCCAAAAAAAATCAAACAAGATCAAAATATAATGGTTTAAGGAAGAAATAGAAAACGTGCCCAGCTCACTTAATGAGTTTCCACTGAAATTTTGGGACTGGCAATTCACACAGCTAAGGCCTCAGAAAATCCATTCAAGCATCATGCCAAGAATGAGTTCTTAGGAAGGGCATGTTACAGGTACTTTAGCATTATTTTCCTGGATTGTGCTACTAAATCACTACGCATGCTCCTTCATTACATAAAATAATGCAAGTTTTGAAAAACCACAGAGGATTCAAAGCATATGCACTAATTGTACTGGGCTTTGAAGAATTCAGCTCACAGGCCCACAAAAAGGACAAGTGAACAGTAAGCAGCAAGCATGGCTTTTCCCTTCAAACCCTGCTACTGATGGTCTTGAAAGTGCCCTTCCTCGTGCAAATTTCTCTAGTTTTCCCCCAGACCAACAGATGCGAGCTGTGCAGAACAGCCACGCCGTTAAGAAGGCAACCTTTAAATAAAACTAAGCATGCTGCTACACATTTGTGTGTTCAAGTGCATCCCGTTCATCCAATGCCATAGATGAGTCAATTGTTAAAACCCATTAACTGAGCCCAGCTGTTCTCAGTCACTGTCGTGTATCGAGAAGCATTAAAATGGCTGTCAACACGGATGTATTAGCACAAGAAAAAACTATTCTCTACATATATCAAGCAGGTTCATGTGCTGGTAGAAATGGTCACTATATATGCCATGCTACTGACGGTTAATGATTATTTCATTTGTCTGCTTCTATAAGTATCACACAAATTAGAAGCAAGAAGTCAAATTCGAAGTTGGCTTTGACTTTCTGGACACTTCCTCAGTAAGGAACAGTATTCCCAGGCATTAAAATGTTATTTTTAAAGCTAAAATTTGGAGACACATACATACAAAGAGTAGAAAAGTGTTGCCTCTCCTACTAAAAATTCACACACAAGTTGGATTTGATCATGACAATAGGCATTCTTTAATCCAATATGTTCTTTCCAAGTACCTAGACGCACTAACACATGATCCCTGAATTATTCAGAGGATAAAAACAGCACAGTAAGAAATACTACTCCAAGCCGTGGTATTTATGGAAAGCTCCTGGACTGCATCTACAACCCTAACGGCCATAATAGTGGGCGAGGAAACCCAAAAGCTTTACAGAATCTTTAAGAACTTGGTATCTTGTCACAGAATTCAACACAATCACTGTTGCAAGCTGTGATTGCTTGATTATGCAATAACCTTAAAAACATGACTCTGCAAAACCAGGTGCAGATGTGACTGGTTCAAGACACTGAGTCAAAAAGTCTCGGTCCCATCACCGAGTTTTGTGCACACCCAAGATTAAGACAGATGAGATCAGCATGCCTGACTTCCCACCTGTCCTGCAATTCAGTGCTTCCCAGGACAGACAGGTATGGCTGTCTTTCCTCAGAGTGTGTGCAGGTGGGACTGAGCAACAAGAAAGCCAGAATCCAACTTGCAGCTAGGAAGCAGGAGCAACTTGAACGAGAGCCAAAGCTATCTGTGTTAGGCTTGGAAGTGGATGCAATACACTGGGAACTGCTCTTCTCAACTGCCCAGCCCAAAACGATCAAGGAGAACAGCTAAGCAAGCAGATTCAAACTTTCAGTCCTACGTTTGCTCAGTTAACAACAGTACAGCCAGTGGAAGTTTGGATGTTTTGATACCAGAGGTGCCATTCCGAGTTAATTGGAAAGGGAAACCTCAACAGCTATTCTAAAAGAAACGAGGTTCAAGTAACTCTAAAGACTGGATGGCTCTAGAATCCTGAGTTGACAGCATGGCTGGACCAAACCCTGACAAAACCAACTCTGATAATTTTAGCTATTGCTATGTAATCTTGCACTTTTCAAATAAACACTGCCCACTGTGAGCAAGTTCCACCTACGGCTGACTTTACATACAGGACGTTTTTGGCAGATTCCAGGACAATTTCTATCATTATTAAGTAGTCTCATTAATTTACAAGTCTGTGGTCCTGGTATATTAAGATGCAACATTTCCCCAAAAGCACAGGAGACTGGGTAAGTTGACACAGTTCAGTAGTGTAACTTCAACAGCAATGTAATCATACTACAGCCCGAAAAATAAAAAATGAACTGATTTCTTCACAAGAAGCAGCTGTTTCAACAATAAGCATTTGATCTCGGAGGCAACGCTCCCATCGCTGAACTAGTTTTGACTACAAAGGTACTGGACTGCATTAACACCAGGACTGTGTTCTTGTGTCCTGTGCCAGCAAAGAAACAGCATGGTCTTACTGAAGGGTTGTCAGCTAAAAAACATCTGCTAAATCACAGCTGGATGCACACGTGGCATCAAAGAGTACATTAAACTAGATGTGCTTATACTGCCCAAGAATATTGTAATGATGCTTTTAAATGCAACAGAAGACACTGAAATCTTACTGCATCAGAGTAAGGGAAATACTGATGCTTTTAGACCCCACGTGGTATTTGTGTGCACAATAAAAACCACGGTACTTTGCTTGGCAGGAACATACGACTGTCAAATTACAGGTGGTTTACTAGTGCTAGTTATCTGAAGGGATGAGCAGTTTCTTGACAGTCTAGAGCAGAAGAAAAATGATGTCCCAGTGCAAGCTTACCCGTGTTCCTTCCCCACCTAAGAGAGCATTTTAACGTTTTCAGAAATGAGATGATTTAGAATCCTGCAAAAATCTAAGCATTTGTTAAGCTGTATCGGATGGGGTTTACCTTAAGCTGTCCCACTACCATACTGAGTATACAGCTGTCAGGTGTAGGCTGGTGGTCTTGTGCTGTGATGCTGTGTTGTATTTTTTGGAAAGGGAGGCTCTGCAATGAAAAGAAAGCAAAATAAGGAAATACACAGGCATTGCATTATTGAACTTACAAAACAAAGATTGAGCAAATCCAACATTAACCAGCGTTAGACTATTTTGGTAGTACTGCGTGGAGAGTTGTTGCAACTCAGCACTACTCAGGCTGGGTTGATCATAACAGTTGTGTTTTTCAAGCACCAAGACAAGAAATAATGTCCCAGTACCTTTTCCTAGTCTAATTACACTGCCTGAAGAGCTTCAGATCATCAGTAGGCTGAAAGTTGACACGACGAAGGCACAAAGCTTCGTTGCTCTGAACAGCGTTAAAAAATTGTACGATCTAATACCTTGGGGGGGTTACCAGACAACTCCAAATTTGCTTCTTTGTTAAACTGGCTACAAACAGAAAGGAAATGTGCTTGGCTCAGAACTGGTGTTCAAGACTTGAAATCCACACATCCACCTTTCCCATTTTTAATCCCCTTGACGTTCACGTAGCCAATGCGAGTGTGTCTGGAGTTAAGTGTGCAAGGAACGCACCTTGAGAAACACCAGACACCGGGGAGTAATTCCTCTCTTTCAACTTAGACCACATTCACATTCCATGGACGACTCCAAGCAGTGAACATCAAACATCCAGGGATGCCGAGAGCCCTGTCACACACACGCAGTTTCGGCACTGCTCTATCAAGAGCTGCATTAATGCTGGATGCTTTAGAGGTGGCAGTTCAGCACAGAGGGAGCTCTGAGTGACCTCACGGCTAACACCCAGGGTCCGTGCACTGCACAGGACAGCAGCACGCAGTCATTTAAACCTCGGGAGGTACTTTAATGCCATTGCTTCATTTCCCTGAGGCAGATCCAAACATGTGCTTTGACAAGTTCTGCATTTCCCTCTAGTGGAAAGAGCCTGACAGACTCCCTAGAAGACTCAAGTTCTGCTGTCAAGGATGTGAAGTACAACTTGGCCCTACAAGCATAAGGCTTCAGGAAGAATACCAGGAAGCTAAATCTTTGGATAATAGAGAACACGAACCATGGAAGAATCAGGACCTGGGAAGCAAAGGGAGTGTACAGAGCAGCCCTCTAATCCCAGAGGGACACTATTCAAGAACATTCTCTAACAAAGCCTGCAGTGTTTCCTCTTGGCTGGGAGAACAATCCCAACCTACTAAGAACTGCAAAGTGAGCCAAACGGTTTGTAATATGGAATAGACATTTAGGAACAAAAAACAAATCCAGAGCAGTCTTTTCTGAACTACCAGCAGAGTATTTCCCAGGGCCACCATCCTAAACGTGAACGTGTGCAAGCACAGGCTGAGACACTGCACACCCTTCCTTTGATAAAAGCATACTGTGCAACCTGGTCCCACCTCAGCACAACAGCTTCTTGTTGAACGAGTCCTGCAAGAAACTTGTCTTGAAAAGGCAGAGAGATGAAGGGGAATGAATGTGGTTGATTCCAGAACCCAGCTTCCAGCACGACAAGATGCCAATGAGAGGTGAGACAGGGGAGAGAAGACACTCGAGAGTCAAGAGCTCTGCAAAATGGTGACAAGGAATCAAAGACAGGGCTGGGTAAGATGGTGCCTGTTTCAAGTGTCCGATTGTCCCCTTTGGAGAAAAGGACCCCAACGGTTGGCCAGCCAAGTGAGCTACTCCTCATGCGATGCAGTGGGTGAAATCCCACTGGAAAGAGTAGGATCAGCTGATAGGAAAGAGCATCGATTTTTAGGATGGAGAGAAGCTACCTCAAAAGGATGGCTGCTTATGGACATCCATCTGTACTGGAGAGAAGCATTTCTCAATACAAAGAGTACAATAAAAGTGACTAACAAGTGAGAAGCCACACAACGACCAAGTGGCTTAGTCCTTTTAGTGTCCTCTGACACTAAAACTTGTCTGGGCTTTCACTACCAAAACTGTGGAATGCTCCTTGAAGTCAGGTAAGAGAAGTTCCGCACGAATGAAGTCAAGTAGCTTAAACTCACTCCTGGCGACAAAGCTACCTGTCCCAGCTTCCTCGGTGGCCCAGGAGGTTTGTAGAGCTACAGGATTATCTCAAATGCTCAATGTAAATCAGGCTGTCCCCTGATTAGGAGAGGCACTCTATTTGAAACAACTCCTAAATCCAGCACCAACTAAGACAGAAGGACCAAGTGTCAGCTCCCTCTCTGCAACAAGGTACCGGTCCGGTGCAGCAGTGCTGGCAATGTCGTTACAACCTTGCCCTGCTGTCTTAGCATCACCTGACAAAGTAGGTTGAAAAGGTGCCCCAGTGTTGCCGTTACACAGCAGAGAACTTGCTGTAAAATAAAATCCTGCCCCTGGGCGCTCACACTGATCACTCTGCCAGGCACTAAAGAACACCAGACGGCAGAAGCGCGAAAGAATTCCAGCATCAAACTTCCAGCGATCTGCTCAACTGACTCAGAAGCTTCAGAAGCTTGAACAGGAGTAGGTGAGCACGTTGTGTCGAAACAACCACCGGAGCCCAGGCAGCTCAGTGCTGACAGAGATATGCTGAAAGAGTCACGGTAAGTTGATACAGCCCCGTAACGAGCCACGGCAGCGGAAGGGCACGGAATAATTTTACTGCATTTCTTCCTTACTTTAAGCAGATGGATACAAGTCAGAGGAACTTCCTCTGCGGCAAAGTGGCATGCCTTCACTCACCGAGCAAGACCTTGCAGCAGGCACACGAATCCAGAAAGTCCAATGTGCACCGCAAACAGGGAAGGTAAAGACGAGTAACACTCCGGCGGGAAAGGGGCCGATCTGCACTGGGCCAGATCCAAGGCCAAGCAAATGCTTAGCTGGTTGGGTATCTCCATGGCTGCTAGCCCAGGAGTCTAAAGAACACCGAGTACACAAGCGAGCAACTCTGGAGCTTGAGTATCGCCTCATCTAGAAGCGAGCAGCTGCAGGCTGTGCTGTTGTGAGGTGTGTGGCCTTCTCGAAGGCAATGCGGGCACCTAAGACACAGATCCAAGGGCAAACCTCAGCCTTCACAGCTAAAAGATGTCTTGGATGGAAGCAGAGACTCCGAAACACGGGAGGAGTAGCTGTACAACAAGACAAGCGTCGAAATCACAAAGATTTTTTTCTTCTCAATGTGTAACAGAAATGGTATATCTGCCTGGTATACCATGCTCTGAGCAGAACATCTGAAGACCTGAAGCATGCCCTCCATCTACCTCGCAAGAGAAACAAACTTTCTGTTTTCACGACAGTTTATAAATAAGTTTTATAACAGAAGCATGGATTTACCCAAAAGGTAAAGCTTCTCCGAGTTTGAGCAAACATGGAGAGAGAGTTTCAGTCTCCACACAGTAAGAAATGCTTTCCTCTCACTTGATGAAGAGGAAACACTGGTTTCACACTCTGGAACCATAACTGCTCATATCTGAACCACTGACACACGTTGCACTGAGGCTAAGTCAGGTTCTCTGCTACAGAACTTATTTGCAGCTTATGATTCAGAAGACAAATTGTTCCTCGCAGTAACATGTTTAGCCTCTGTCACAGGCAGGTCCACGTAACAGGTTTGCCATTCCTACTTCCTTGGCATGCTTTAAAAGAACAAAAAAAACACCTTTCATTCCTCTAGATCACAGGGTCAGCTTATGAACTATACTTTAAAAAAAAAAATCAATAGCGTCAAATGCAATTGCAGTCACAAAATAACCTTGCAAACTAAGGGTCAATTAACATTTCACCATCAGAGGCACCCATGCAACACCCCACCACACTGAATTACATCATCAATAACGTTTTTTGAAGACCAAAAGTTGGAAGCACAGGTCCCATGTGCTAGAGTTTTAAACTACTGAAGTCGAAATAAAGTTTTCAAAAGCAATTCATATATAGTCTTCAGAACTGTTTCCTAAAACATCCCATAAGGATTACGGACTTACAGAGAGTTTTTCAACAATAGCAGCTTTGCCCTGGAACTGCTGTCCTTCCCACGTAAGGCATGACGCATCAATCTGAGGGGAAAAGAAAAAAATTCATCTGCTTAGGTAACCCTTAAGCAATCCTGGTAAAATACTTTGTTTACTTGGTATATATCCTTGGTATCCAGCTATTTGGAAACTACCTCAAAGAGAAATGGAAAGAAACCACAAAGAGCAACTGAGAAAGTGTGGAATAATCAACTAGAAATGCAGTAGATTAAATTTCATTACCATGATTCTACCAGCAAAAAAGTTCCTGCCTTTGGATCAAGGTTGGCTTGCAGAAGAAGATCAAAAAGACACCAAACCCAATAATCCTACAGACACAAAGTCAAGCATGTAGAGAGACGAAAATATGTGAAGAAATCTGACAATATGAGTTGTATCATCAGCTTTTCTTTTTTCCCTCTCAGGTACTGATTCGTACACCCTACTCACACCCAAAAAAGTAGTATGTGCCTGGAAAGGTCTTCTAACAGACTGCCCTGTGTGGCACGAAGGGATTGAGGTGCTTCAGCCTACAAGCTCTCCCAGTATAGGAGGGAAGGCGTTCTGAGTCTGCTATGTCAGGTGCACCAGCAGCAGGTGAGAAACCTTCTGTTCCCCTCAGGATACTCTGTTTAAACCAGAGTCACAACATCCTGTTTTTGACATAGCTCTGCCTTCTCGAATCCAATTTTAAACCTTGGCGAACAGACTTCAATTGAGATTGGTTTCCACTGAGCTCAAACTCTGCCTGCTGCCGTCTCCAAACAGCACCCTCACCCTCCACGTGACAGCCCAAGTTCTTGCTGGGTGGCTACTCCTTCCACTCGTTTGAGATAAAATATCTCCAGGAACATGAGTCCTGGCTCTTCCCCATCCAATCTTCAGCTCTCACTGAAGCTCTGAGTGTCTCAGCTGAAAACAGCAGATTCCAAAGAACTCCATTTGTATGCTCTCCTGTAGATTTTCCAGGCCCTGTTTTTGACCCACACCATATCAAAAAGTCACTTCTTTCAACCACAGATGCTGTGCCAAACCTGCACGAGCCACAATCACTCTAAAAAAAGCTTCTGGTCCTCCATGTATCATCAGAATAAACTATACAGTGCAGCAGGAGCCAAAGAACAAAGAAGGGGACCGAGGCGACAGCACGAAGCATTTCAGGGTCACAGATGCAACCCAGGGCAGTATGGTGAAGAGCCCCTGAATACGGTCGCCTCGAGTTCATACATGTGCCTTTTAAGAATAAATGGGCTCAACTTAGATGGTGCAATCTGAAGCCACACAGTGAGACATCTGGCTGACACCGCTTGCACCTTACACAACATCAAGGCCTGATGCTGATCACTTGAGGGCAAGGTGATGGTAGCAGGAAACGAGGCTGTCCTCTCCAGCATTCAAATTACAACCTTCAGATATGGAAAGCCACAAAAGCAGAGGGGACTCAAAACCTGCCTTACTGAACCCACTTCAGCAATCAGCAGGAGAGCGCTGCAGGACCCTCCTGATGTTTCAAAGAGTAGCAAAGGACATAGTTTAAGTTGGTGTGGAAAATACACCCTTCCCGAAACACACTACAGCTTCACGTTGTACCTCGTGAGCATCCACCTGACTCTCTGCTATAGGTTACCTCCACAGCCACTTGCTGTATCTGGGAACAACTGCTTTAAGAAAAGCATCCCTTCTGCTATCCCAAAAGCCCTAGAGATGAGAAAACAGCATAAACATAAGAAAATATTTCATTATGAGTGGCCACACACTCAAAGGAGAGGAAAGAAGTAGCTACAGCATTTTCCTACAAAACTGCAGGGAGATAACTGTAAAACAAGCCTTTGACTTGGCGCTCCAACTCCCGTAACTCGAGCAATTCATAGCAAAAGTCACAGGTCCAGATCCCTACCTGGAGTAGGTGACAACAGCTTGTTCGACCTGGATTACAACACTACAGGAGAAAACTGAACCTTGTGGTGGAAGCAGTGAGACAGGAATGCAAAAGAAATCCAAGAGCTCCCTGCTGTGTCCCTGCACGTTATAGAATTCACTCGCTCCCACAGGGTCTTCGAAGGCAAAAAACTCATCAGCAAAAGTGCATTTCTGCAGAACCTCTAATTTAGACAAGCTGTGACCTTGGTGCACTTTAGCCACACAAAACAGGATCCCATCCTCCGTAGTTTAGGAACTCCACAAAAACAATACCCATCAGTGACCTCTCCTGACTACCTTTGCATAGGTATCTCCACTGAATGATGAAAGGCAGAAAGATCCTAAGGGTGGCAAAAGCCCAGGAGTTCATTATGTGGAAGGTCACGTTTCCAGGAATTTAAATTAGCCTATGCTTATCATCAGTCTTCTGAGGATTGAATGTGTCTTGGCAATAGCAGGACAGAAACTCCTAAGTGCCTTCATATTTAGAGCTGTAGACTGCATACAGGCTACTGTCTTCTTGCTTTGTACACTCTTTGTACAGAGCTTTTTGGCCAAAACCAGGCAACAATCCAGCAGATAATAAATACACAACAATCCAAAGAGCAAATGCTGCTCAGAGTGCTGGTGGGTACTGATGAGGTATAGGAGGGGTGTCAGATGGTGCTCACGCAACAGTTTCAACCCTCAAGACCTTGGTGAAGCTTCATACAATTCATCCAGCAGATGAGAAACAGGTCAGAAAAACAGGATATGCTGCTGGAAGACCTGCAAGACTTGAGTGTCTTGCTGAAACACCTCAGCCACCCAGCAGCATTCCTCACCACCAGTAATCAATTCCACATGCAGACAGGGCACTTTGCATGTTCTGGAAGTGTCTTCCCCCAAAACTAACAGCTGATGTTCCTTGGGTTTGTTACAGTCTTTACTTTTGGAAATCAAATCCATTTTGCCCCAAACAAGGAGAAAACAAAACCCTAATTTTTGAAGACATTTAAACTGAATTTAAATTTCTTTAACAAAGTCTAAATAGTTAAACTGGATTCAAAATTTTAAATCTATTTTAGTGTTCTGACAATTAATACAACATGATATCCAACAAACACCTGCAAGAACTGCTAAATGCAGAGTAGGATTTAAATCACATCCCACTTCAAGAGGGATTCAAGCAAATCCACGCCTGTAAATTAAGGGCAAACTATGGCTAGCATGTTTGCTTTTACAGAAAATTTCATCACAGCATCATCAGCAGCAGCACCCTGTCTATAGCACATCAGGGATTTGATGCCTCTAGATAAAGCAGCCAAAGCTCAAAATAGAAGTGAACTGTAAAAGAAATGCAATAAGTAAAAGTTGAGTAAGTGTGATTGCACTGACTGACGTTCTGGAGTCAGGATAAAACTCATCATCCTCATCAAAATAAGGACACCTAGACAGAAAATGAGCACCCCAGCCCGCTGTGTGTACATACTTACATATATTGCTCCTAACTGAGTCCTGTCTGCATCAAAAAGCTGGTAGTAATGTTGTACGAAGCTGGACCCAATCTGCTCCCAGATAGGCTTGTCTCCCATTCTGAATCCTCACCTAAAGCTGCAAAACAAACAAACAAAAATTATCAGAAAGAACGATCACATAAATATACACAGCACTTGGCTTGTGTATTAAGCAGCAGTAAACACAGATGTCCTCAGCTGGCCAGAATTTTTCTTTGGAAGAAGTAGGACAAATCTCACCTCTGTATCCTAGACTTCTGTGAAATAAAAATCCTGGATACTAAATGGCTTAATTTCTTATGACCCTATTTGCTGATTTCTAGAGCTATTTCAGTGGGACGTCACAACCCACACGCAACAGTGGAGAACAAGAACAAAAATGAGCAAACGTCACCACCTTACGTTCATGTATTTCAAACATGACACCATCTGAAGAAGTTGGCCAGCACTTGCTATTGTGACTTGATCTCACTTACAGTAAACAACCGACGTGTTAATATGGATTGTCTGCAAGCAGCTTACACCAACTGATTTACCTATGCAGCTCCTCAGGTTATTTCCCCACCCACAAGCCATCCTAAGGAATGGCACCCAACAGGAATTCATTCACCAGCTCTTTGCTTCACACAAGCTTACTTTTTAAGACCCACTCTCCTCTTCTATCGTGTCGCTAAGGCTGAAGTATACTCGAGGTTTATCTTTTGAGCCTGCAGTAGTTTCAAGATGCAAACCATGATTTTTCCCAGTGGGGAGAGTCTGCAGTTCCCAGTGAAAGTATCGGAAGCTCAGAGGTATCACACTTCGGAACACGAGTCCCTCTACTTCGGAGGGATTAAGCGTACACCGCGTGCAGCAGTCCAGGCAGACCCAATCTCGAAACCATCACACGTGATCAGTACAGGTGATCGCTTTATCATCCCATTAAACTTGTCAGGAGAGCAAGTTCATTTTTTCTTGATCCTGATATCTCTCTAAAAGGCTGAAGAGTTGTGCTAAAAGGCAAAACACAACGATGCTGCACTCAAAACTCACCACGTTACGTTTCAAGACCTGAGTTCACTTAAAGCAAACTCTGCTATACTCGTTCAACGTCAGGATGTGCCACCCATAGTCTCTTTTTGCAATACCTGACCAGCAACCCTTGAGCTACAGGTCTGTATTTCACTGTGAGTCTAGAAAGCATCTAAGGCATGAAATTCTGTTTCAGAACACAGGACAGGACGATGATTTTGGCTTCCTTTAGTCATCAATTACTCACACACCTGTTTGACAAATTCCTAAGAGAAGTAAAAAACATATTCGTAGTATCTCCACAGCAGATACCACCCGGCCTAGCTTTCTGTGCACAGCTAGACAAGAAAACTCTTTTCATATTTTAGGGCTCTGGCCGTTTGAGTTTCACTCATATAAATAGGAAATGCAATTGGTTCAAATCCTAGGCCAGAAGTTTTAAGGTTACAAAAACGTGGCCAGCCTTGCAGAAGAGCAAATCTATTCCATTAGATCACCAGCGTAACGGGAGGTAGCACACAAGTTTTCAGGGCAGTAAATTCAACCAGCAAAGTGAAATACAAACCAAGAACAATTGCTAGAGCTTAAACACTCAGACTACTTGAGGGAGAAAAGGTTGGCATCTGTGAAGCAGAGAAGGTGACAGCACAGAGAGGTCAGACATCCCTGCTGAGAAAGGGATGTTCTGTAGTCTATGAAGGGAGGAGAGGTTCGGCAGGAGAAGCTTTGGTTGAGACAATGCACCACAAAAACATGCCCACAGACTCCCAGGTTTTGACATCCAACTGATGCTGGCTGCCTGCTAGTGCTCCAGTGCACCTCAAATTTATTTTATTCAAGGATGAGGCCAAAGAATGAACTTGATAGAAACATACCTATCCCATTTGTAAACATCCCTATTGAATTAACCACCTATGTAAAACGGTCAAGACCAAACTCAGTAACCCTGCACACTAACCTAGACTAAAAATTCAAAGACTTGTTGCCACACAACTAATATTTGAACTGCTCCAAAAAGATGTAAAATCTGGCATCAGTCACCATCACGTGTGCTCCACTAACACTTACATTACTCGGTCTGAAGGAGTTTTAACCAGTGTAGTCACTCCTCTGGGAGAACAGATCACAAACTAAAAGTCCGTCCGCGTCCAACAAGTTTAAAAACCAAAACAAATGTCCCCAACAACTTAAACCTACTTCTTCACAAGAGAAAAAGTATTGATTGTGCATCCATGACTGCCACATACCAGCCTAACCTAGAGCAGATGTAGAAATCAAACAACTTCACCTTGTATTAAAGGATTTCTACGTTGAAAGAAAACCACCCTAAGACCATCTCACCAACTCCCTGGAAACTTTGCTGAGGGACGGCTGCCCACCCTGTCAGGGAGGACTCTCATGCCTTGTCTGGAAAACCAGAAGTACTGGTATTTAGTTGTGAAGTCTGCTCTTTCCGTTCCGGACCTGCAGGTACCTAGAGGCGCGCAGTTTGGGATGGCTGCAGTGGAGCCAACAATCAGCTCAGGTGAAACTCACGTCTGTTCGTTTTTTTATGGATCATCACAGCTTCAACTTCAACCCATCAACCCACATTGCTACCAGATATCCTTCCTAAACATTCAAGTGTATATCTAGGTGACAGTACCGATACTAAACAGCCACAGATGTAACATTGTGCAACTCGTCAAGTGCAAGGTCCTGCACGTGGGTCGGAGCAATCCCAAGCACAAGTATAGGCTGGGCAGAGAATGGATGGAGAGCAGCCCTGAGGAGGAGGACTTGGGAGTGCTGGTGGGTGAGA